CCGCGCGCCCAGGCCAGGCGCCGCCCTTGTTTCCGCCGGCAGGCCCGCAACCGTCGCCCCCACATCAAAGCGAGCTACCGTGGCGGTGCTGGCGGAAGTGGAGGAGGCAGCCCAGGAGACGCTGCACTACGCGGCCGCAGCTGCTGAGGTAGCACCCGCGGTGGGCGCCGCCGCGGAATGCAAGCTTGCAGGGCCGCAGGCGGCCGGGAGTGATGAGGGGGAGCAGCTGGCGGGGGAGGAGGGATATTCAGAAGAGGTTGCAGCGGCAGACGATGCAGCGGATGCGGCCGCGCGCGTCGCGGCAAACCCTGGGGATGCGCGCGGGGGGGACCAGCGGGGCCCAGGCGGCGGCAGCAAGGGGCGCGAGGCGGTGCCGCTGGACAGCGGCGCGCTGGGCGCCATGGCCCTCAAGGCCGCGGCGGCCGCCGCGGCGACGGCGCGCGGCGTCGAGGTGGCGTGAGCCGAGGGGGCATGAGCTGCGCGTGTGCGGGGACAGCGCCCCGGGCTGTGCTTTGATCCTGTCCAGTCTAGTGGCCCGCGTCGCGCGTTGTGATGTTGCGCCCCCATATTTGTTGGCTTGGTGCCAAAGAGCTGGCAATCAAAACCTGATGCGACCGCCTTCCCTGCGGCGCAACCCCTGTCGTACGTGCACACACCTTGCCTTTCGGGTCTGGGCCCCACTGGCCTGCTTGACACTGTGCATTCAATGTTTGAATGTTTGATTGGGTTAGGAGAGAGAAATTGAATCATGTGCATTACACATAAAGCAGGCGAGTACCAACGCCACAACAACGCATGGCTGCAGCATCCAATACACGCATACACACACACAGCCGAGGCCGGGCCGGGCGGCTCTGTAATCAATACCGCGACGGCGCGCCGTCCCTGCCGCTCATTGCAGCATATGCACCCAGGGTCAAACGCTTGACGGTCGATACCGGCACCGCTCGAAAAACGGCAGAGCATCGCTGCCCCTAGCGGCCGCGCGGCGGCTCTGGCCGCGCGCAGCCGCCCCTTGAGAGCGGCAACTTGTGTACGTGTCAGATGAGTAGACAGGGGATCAGGCTCAACGCTGAGGAAGGAAAACGCCGGGCACTGCACGCGACGCTCGCTGTATCATGCTCATCCAAACGACCCCCGCATGCGCCGCCTCAAACAACACCTCGTCCACCCCACGCCGTTCGTCGCCCCAGCCGCCGGCCCCTCGCGCCACACCGCCCCCGCCTCACGGCGCGGCGCTCCTGCGCCTTGGCCCCGCAGAGCCGACCGGCCAGCGCTCACGCCGACGCGTGGCGCCCCCTGATGTCATCCACCAAGACGTCCCCCAAAACCTTCTTCTGGCTGAAGTGGCGCATGTGCAGGATGGGCACGCACCCCGCCGCGGCGACGGTCTTGCCGCCGACGCGCTCCGCGTACGCGCGCGGCTTGAACGCCGCAAGCGCCGCCTCGCCCCCGGGGGCCCCGACGCGCCCGCAGACGCCGAGCAGCGCGTCGAGCGTGTTCATGCGCATGTAGGGGCACGCCGCGCAGCCGCCCTCCAGCGAGCAGCCCTCGCCGCCGGCGGGGCCGGGGACGATGGAGAGGCCGCCGGGCAGCGAGAGGGGGGCCGCGCCAGGCGCGACGGCCTGGCGGGGCGTGGAGATCGACTGAGGGGCGACGGGGAAGACGACCTCGACCTCGACGTCGTCGCGGCCCGCGGCGGCGAGCATGGCCTGCACCTTGCGCACGATGGAGGTGATCATGCCGGCCTCGGTGCCCAGGACAAACTGGAGGCGGTCGCCGTAGGGCGCGGCCAGGGCGCCCTGGGTGGGGTGTGAGGGGTGCGTGTGTGTGTGGGGGGGTGCGGGTCAGGGCGAGTGAAGCAGCGATGGCCATACGAGGTCCGGTGAGCCTGCCGGCGTGAGCCACGTCTTGCCGCTGCCCAGGCAAACAAAGCCCCGCGCCGTGCCCACGGCCGCGCTTCCAAGCGCCGCGCGCGCCGGTCGCCAAAGCCCGGCGGTTGCCACAGCTAGCTTCGACCACCGATTGGCCGTGCAGGACCCCCAGCCCCGGCCGCCCGCTCCGTCGGGTCCGCCCCGCCCACCTCGAGCTTCCCGGCTATGAAGTCCAGGATGTTGCTCGTCGACCCGACGCAGCCCATGCCGCGCGCCTTGGCCTCCATGGCCAGCGTGAACATCTCCCCGGGCACCTCAAAGTGCGCCGTCAGGTAGGCGTCCCCGTACCTCGCCCGCACCAGCTCGCACGTCTCGCCCCCGAATATGTGGTGCACGATGCAGGTGCCGGCGTCGAAGTAGCGCAGCCGCGGCAGCAGCGCGCGGATGGTGGCGCGGTCGTGGGCGGGGTGGAGGGCCTTGATGTCGGCGTCGTCGGCGGAGGCCAGCATGGTGAAGAGCTGGGCGAGGTTGCGGCCCATGTAGGTGTCGGGGCCGTACCACACAGTCAGCTCGGGCACCTGCGGTCGGTTCGGACGTCAAGGGGTTGCAGGAAGGTGTTCAGATTGGGTGGTGGCAGATTGTGGGGGTTTGCCACATCGCGCATTTGCAATTGCCGCGGTTTGGCGGGCTGCGGTTCAACGGGTTGCCTGTACGTTCTTATCAGGTCTCATTGTTGTGAAAGGCAGGGGAGGTGTGGTACAGCAGGGCGGCAGCGGCGGCGGAGGTGCAAGAGAGGAGCCGTTGGAGCTGCGGGTGACGCGTCCTGCGTTCTCACGAAATCTTTGGGGACGGTGCTGCACCCGCACGCTCGACACGCACGCGTCCCCTCGCAGGAGCCGTGTCAATAGCAGGGTGTGACCGCGTCCATCATGAGGGCGCACCTGGGCGAAGGCCTGCAGGATGGTCTGCACCACGTTTGAGCTGGTGCAGGTGATGGTGGGCACGAGGGCGTCCGCCGTGGCCTTGGTCAGCAGGCTGGTGTTGATGTACACGACGTGGAGGCTGTTGGGCGTCGCGGCGGCCTGGGGACGGTGGGGGCAGAGGGGCGGGGACGGGTGAGGGTGTGCCGCGGCTTAGGGCCAGACGCAGTGCCGTCTGCTGTCTGGCCCCACTCAACCACGAATTCGGCCACTGTCACTGCGACCGGCCCCCGCAGAACATCCACATGACGAACAAAAGCTAGACGCAAATGACGTCACGCTGCGCCCGGCTAAAAAGGGGCCTGTGCCGCTGCTCGGCCCCTTTAAAGGTTGTTGGCGTACCAACGGCCAGGACGCCAGTGGCCGCCCACCTCTGACAAGAACCTGTCGTAGGCCGCAGACTCGGCCGCCTCTGCCAGGGAGCAGCCGATGGGGGATGATGACATGCGGTACACCTGGAGGGAGGGGGGACACGGGGAGGGTTGGGGGCGCCATGCAGTACGCGCCGCTGCGTTGGTGCTGGCACCCTTGTTGCCAGCGGCACCCTTGGCCGCAGCCGGGAGTGTCACGGCTGAGGCAGCCCGCAACCGGCCGTGCAGTCACCACCGGCCGCACAGCCTGGCTGGCAGCGGCGCGGGCGGATGGCGGCCTTCGCTTCATCGTCTGCCCCCAACTGCCTCGCCCCGCCGACTTGCCCCGCCGCACCTGGACGTCGGTGTGGCCGGCCTCATCCAGTATGGCGCGCACGTTCTCGCTCATAAAGTCCACGCCCAGCACCCCCACCGCCCTGCAGCCGGCTTCCGCCATCTTCACGGCCGCGTCGGCCATGACCAGGGAGTCGCTGATGTGGATGTGCGGCCACTGCTCCGCGGCGGCGCTGAGGACCCCCTGGACCTGGAGTTTCCAGACGCGAGGACGCGGCGTCAACACATGGCCCCTGGTTGTTGACTTGTGCTCGATTTGCAATGTGGCAACCGCACAGCCGCGTACCGCAGAGCGTATTCGACACCCAGCCGCGGCGGCCGTGCGCGGCACGGCGCTGCTGTGCATGTCCTCTTGTACATTCCGTATGGGCAGCACGCCAGTCTGGGAGGATCTGCAGTGCGCTCGCCCCACCTGCGGGTCCATGTAGAAGTGCGCCACCACGCCGATCTGCTTCTCGCGCAGGGTGGCCGCCAGCCGGTCCACCGTGGCCACGTCCGGGCGCAGGTACTGCGCTTGAGCCTCAGCAAACGCGCCCTGGAGCGGTAGCACCGGGCGACACGGGAACGCGGAGCGGGGTTTCGACTTACTTGCCGCATGAAGCAAGCCCCCAGAGCCGCTTCCATCCGACGCTCCCTTCAACATCAACGCATACATGCGCTGCTACACACCAGGCACGCAGGCAGTCAAAAAGCAAGGACAGGAAAGGAAGCCACCACGCGCGTGTCCCGCCGGATGTCCCACAGCCCTCGAGCAACCGCGCACCTGGGGCTCCAGGCTGTCCTTTGAGATCAGCAGCGAAGGGAACCGCGGCACCTCCGCGGTCAGCATGCGCGCGCGCCGCTTCATGGCCTCCAGCATGTTGGCAAACCCGTTGACCCGCGACGCCGCGACCGCGCCCGCCGCCCCGCCGAGCCCGAGCGCGCGGAGCCACGAGGCGTCCGCGTCCAGGACCTCGGCCGGCGTGAGGCCGGACAGCGCCGCCACGAGGACGGCCGCGAGGCCGGATGTGATGTCGGAGTCGGAGGCTGCGGCGAAGCGCACGGTGCCGTTCGCCGCGTCGATTGACGCGTGCACCCAGGCCTGCGGGGGGCGCGGCCGCGGGGCGGGGCTTCTGAGTATCCTGTCAGTGTTGGCGCTCACTGCTGTCAAACGGCAACTCAAACGGTGGTTTTTGTGCCCACAACCTACACAACCACCACCCCCCACGTCTTGCGACGAGGTGGGAAAGCAACCCACTATGGGCCACGGGCGGCCGCTGCGGAGCGCCTTCTGCGCACCTGGGCTGAGCAGCCCATGACTCGATTCTCAACAGTTTTGAATTCTTCGGGGAAGGGCGGCAGCTGCTTGGCGTATTCCAGCAGCAGCCTCAGCCGCGCCTTGGCGTCGCCGGCCGACTGGAAAGCGGCGACTATCGGCGCGGCCGCCGGGGGCGCGCCATGGGGCAGCAGCGGCGTTGCCGCAACGGTGGGGGCCTCATGCACCTGGCGCATGCATGCAGGGGATCGCAGCTGGTTTGAACCAGGTGATGGGAGGCAGCATGGACTGCAGCGGCAGCGCAGCGCGTGCGGCAGTGACGCAGCGCGGACATGGCAGTGCCAGTGCATGCACAGCTGCGTGGGGTAATTGAAATATATATACCTGGTTGGTCGCGGTTGCGAGGCATAGGGCCCGCCGGGCGCGCGGCAGAGCCTGGATGGCAGCCACAGCACGCCGGGGCTGGACGGCCGCAACAGAGGCACTCCTTGAAAGGCACAGCGCCATAATGAGTGCTGCTTTATCTGCTAAAATTGCTATAAGGCGCTACTATGAAGGCTCGGAACGCGGGTTGGCTAGCCTGCGATCGCTCTAGAGTCTAATGAATTATTTCAGGCACCGACGGCAAACTGCAGGGCGGGATACTTGAGGTTAAACACCCAAGAGGCGGACGCGGTCATCGTGAGCACGCAGGCTGCGGTGGTATTGCTCAGGGAGCGAAGAAAGGGGTGTGAGAAACGACTGAAGTAACGATTGAACTAATGTCATATGGGATGGCGCAACAACACGGCGCAGCTCAAGCGCGTGCACGTGCATGTGGCCGGCACCTGCCTCACCAGCTGCCCACGGCGGCGCATGATTGACAAGGAGCCTGGTAGCTAGCGTCTGCACGCATGAGTGCGAAGCGGGCGCCTGATGGTAGGCTCACCATATGTCATGTCTACTGTAAGCGGCCCAAAGCTGTGTCGCCTGACACCCCGCTGACGACAGGACGCTGATTGCAGGACAAAGCACAAGGCAGACCGATGACGACTCTCTGTGGCACAAGATGGGGGGGGGAGACGTCGGTTCTGCGGCACGCTGGAAAAGTGGGTGTATTACAAAGGGCAGACACCGCATCTGGTCCTCAAAGGCAGAGCAACTGACAAAGGGGAGCGTAATGGTGGGCATCGCCGTGGCCACCGAGTAACAGAAGCCGTTCAGGTACCATCGGATGCAACGAACCCGGTGCGGGCCCATGGCAAAACCCGTGGCGAAGAAAAGGGACAGGGAGAGGGGGCACTTGGCAGGCTGAGCAGCCCACCGCAGCAATGCACACTGCGGACAGGTGGGACGGCTGAAAGCGGGAGAAGGGACGGAGGGCCAGAGCTACTGGAAGAGAAGGGTAGCGAGTGAACTCGGCCGCTTGGGCCGGGGGACGGGCGCTGTTGCAGCGCACCCTTGGGCGGCCACGGATCTCGGAGCAGGCATCAGGATACATGTACATCGGCGGCTAAAGGTCATGCGTCGCTTGGCGCTCTCGGTCGCCTGCTGTCGGCGCTGGTGCGTGCTGGAGGGGGCTCGGCCAGTACACAGCCAGACACTGCCAGTCGCGCAGAGCGGACACCTGCTGCAAACTACCCCCCACAGGACTAAACCCCCGGCACCCCAGGAAAATCTCTGGCAAAAGAGCATCATGGCTGAGCCAAGCACCCCTCGTCAAGGGGGCGGATCCTCAAGAAAAGAAAGGGACCCAAATGTTGAACAGAGCCCATGCAAAAGCAAGCGAGACGCGGCATCTACGACGCCGCCTCCTCGGCCTCCCCCACCACGGGCAGCTCGAGCTTGGCCACCTCTGCAAACTTGGTGCTGCTGTACTTCTTGAACACCGCGCGCAGGCTGCCGTCCGGCGCCTTGGCCGCCAGCGCGACCAGTGCGCGCGCGAGCGGCGCCACCTCCCGCAGCTCGTACCGCGCGTGGCGGCGCAGCGGCCGCGGGTACGCGTCGGGCGCGCCGACGGCGAGCAGCGCGGCGTGCAGAGCGGCGGCGGAGATGAGGGACAGCGGCTGCTTGAGCATGGAGTAGTCGACCAGGGCGAGCTCGACCAGGTACTCCGCATACTGCCCCGCGCGGGGGTCGTCGCAGGCCGCGGCCTTCTTGAATCGCGCCAGGAAGGAGAAGGTGGTCGGCACCGTGAGGTCGTACGACAGCACCTGGCGCAGTCGTTTGTGAACGTGAACGACGGCGAGGGGCGCGGGTTGGCAGGTGAGTGGGAGCAAGGCAGGGCAGCGGCCAGCCGCTGTGCAGGCGGATTCGGGGGCTGGAGTTTCCCTGGGGCGGCCACCACCCCGGCCCCAGCAGTATCACTGCCACCCCAAGCAAGCACGCAGCAACTTCGGCGAGCGGAGACATCAGCGTCGAGCCCCCGGCCACGTGCCCACCTGCAGCATCTTCTTCTCGCAGCCCAGGATGTCCTCGCGGCTGTAGGCCTTGTCGCTGATGTACACAAAGTCGCGCACCTGGGGGGCAAGAGCGGGGTACAGTGCGTCCAGGGTTGAAAAGCGGGATGGCGACGCGTAGGGCAGGGCAAGGGTTTAGGGTAGGGGCAACGCGTAGGGGCAGGGCGGGTCGCGCAACAGCAGCTGTGGCGTCCATGAGGACCATGCCGGCATTGAGAAGGGCGTCGCGCAGGCCTGCAGGATGCAATCGAGCCCAGATGCGGGCGCTGCACGGCCGGGGAGCCGGCTGCGGCGCACCTCGGGCGCCCAGATCTCCTCGTACTTGGACGCTATCAGCATGGCTGTCACGCCGATCTGCGCCGTGGAGGGGTATCAAGGCCTCGACTTCAAAACTTACATGCGCCAACGCGCGATCCAGAGCAACCCCAGGACGGCTGCAGGGCCGAGCGTGCAGGATGGCGTGCGCGCGCGCGCGCCCCTCACCAGCTGCAGGCGCTTGCGCGTGACGTTGCGCTTTGACAGGTAGCGGTCGATCAGGTTGCAGGTCAGGTACAGCGTCTCGGGCATCAGCTGGGGGGGCAGGGTTGGCGTGTTTTTTTGTGTGTGGGGGGGGAAGGAGGGACGAGACAGCTGCAGCATGACGACGGGGCGGAGCGGGGCCGGGGCCGGCAGGGCAGGGCTGTCACTGCGCTGCAGAGCCGGCTGCCGGCATGTGTGCCGTTTTCGCGCCCGATCATGCACCCACGCCCCCCGCCGTGGCACACGGAACGGCCCCCGAGATCCATTCGGTCGTCAGGCATATGTGATTGTAGGCTGCCGTGCGGGCGGGCTCACCTTGAACTTGAGGTGCACCTCGATGAGCCAGTCGATCAGGATGGAGCGCATCTTCTCGTTGATCTCAGCCTGCTCGGGGCCAGGCGAGCACAGAGGGGTGGGGCGGGGCTGAAAAGAGGGCCAGCGTCGCGGCTGGGCGGCGGGGGCGCTTGGCCGCGCGGACGGCCGCGCGTGACCAAGCTGCCTGCAAAGCAAGCTCGAGGTTGCGCATGGGAACGGCAGAACCGGGTTCGGTCCCTCGCCTTGCCAGTCGCGCCCTCCCTCCCCGCAACCTGAGGGCGCCGCATGTGGCCCCAAGCATGGGCCCCATCCAGCACTGCGGTGGCCCCGTCCCACTCCCACCTGGCTGGTCATGTAGTCGCTTGGGACGGCGAAGCGCGGCTCCACCCTGCGGTAGAAGCAGTAGATGTCGTGCGCGTAGCCGGCCTCGGCCAGGGGGTTGGCCTTGTCCTTGCTGTCAATGTCGGGCAGCGGCGACAGCGCCACCGCGGCCGCCTGGCGCTTGTTGGTGGCGGCGTACTCGGAGCGGCTCTGCAGCAGCGAGCTCAGGCTGGAGCCGCCCTTGTGGGCCGCCTTGGATCGCAGCGCGGCGGCGGCGGTGGCGGTCGGGTCGCGCGGCTTGAGCGCGGTCGGCTTGATGGTGCCCTGCACAGTGTGCGAACAAGCAGGACTGTGAGCACGTCGGAGACCTCAGATCGTTGTATGAGTATGTTTAAACCGCGCCTGTCCCTTCAAGAGCTGCAGACAGGGCGTGCAGGCTCCGCCCGAGTCGCCGGGCCATTGCCCTCGCCTTGCCCACTGCTGCGACCGCTGCCTTCTCCGCACCTTCGCCTGGGAGCGAGTGGTGACGCCACCCACGTTGCCGATATCTCCCAGGGCCCTGCAGTACGGAATTGGGGCGATAAGGCTGCAGCGTTCGGGGCCAGGCCGACGGTGCCTCGTAGCTCCCTCACCTGCGCGCTTTGGCCTCCACTGGCTTGACGTCCTTGGATCCCAAGTTATTGGGGCCATTCTCCTCGGCCCTGGAGGCCCCACGGGTCGCCATGGCAGCAAAGATGGGTCGCACTCAAACTTGATCGAGCAGGTGGCAACAACAACTACTTGCACCGATGCAACTATCAACTTTGACATTGGCCACGAGTGGCCCGAGCGGGATAGCTCAGTTGGTGCGCGCAAGGGCAGCGGGAGAAGCTGCTGCCTTCGCATCGTTTGACTCATTTCAAAGGCGGGCTGCAGTTGTGTCGGGCGGCGATATCATGATGTGCCGGAGGTGCTGCGTAGTTGAAAGCGTCTGATACTCTTCCCAATCACACATGCTGCAAGCCTATCTCATCATTGCCCAGTGTAGTGAAGAAGCAAGGCCTCATCAGCACAGTGTGGCGTCACCTCAGGCATGACTTGGTGCATGCTGTGCTAGCCTGCCCGATGGTCATCAAGGAGGCGGGCCCTCGTACGATGCGCCCGATCCGCTGTTGCAAGTTCATACGAAAGGCACTGCGCCAGTGTGGCTGCCTGCCAGATCGTTTGTTACATGACATGCGTCGCTCCTGGAGACGCCACAAAGGGCGGCGGCCTCGAACGCCGATGCGGCTCCACGGCTCGGCAATCTTGCGAGACAGCCGCGCCTCACAGCGCCTCAAACAGGCGCCGCACGTGGTCGAGCGTTGCGGGCTGGCGTGTGACGGGGCAGCAGCGCCGCTGCGCCACCCAGCCAAAGACGCAGGGGTAGCAGAAGACGTAGCCCGACACCGCCAGCGCGGCGGGGTTGACGCGAGCCCGCCTGCTCGTTGGGCCACGGCCGCGGCACCGTTGGGGAAGGGGGAGCTGAGGGGGCCAGCATTAAGCAAGGCGCGCAGCAGCAGGCGGCGAAAGCAGGCATAAGGGCGAGCCGGACCGCGCGCCCATTCATGCTGCTCCCGCAGCGCGCCTGCCCCGCGCGCACCTGCACAGGGGGCATGTGGCGGGGTCCTCGGGCAGGCCGACGCCGTCCGGGTGCGGCGCGGGCGGCGGGGGCGCGGGCGGGGGCGGGATCGCCTTGCCGGCCGCCAGTCGGTCCTCTGCAGATGCGTACCACCACTCAAGGATCTGCGGGGCAGATACATAGAGATTGCTTTGCCGCTGAGTCATGGCTTGCGCAGCGCGAGTGCTGAGAGGAGATAGCCTTTGCCAGCTCTATTCTGCGCCGGTCAGCAGCAGCATGCCGCAAGCTCTCGCGTGCGCCACGGCAGCCCCCCTGGGCCGCAAGCAGGGGCGCGTGCCTTGAAGCCGAACACTGCCAGGATGAGCGCGCTGCTTGTGTGGTCGGCCACCGCAAAGCGCGCCCTCAGCCAGGCGCGCCCCACGCCGCGCGCGACGCGGCTGCCGCGCTGCTCCACTGCCGCCAGCCGCGCCCCGCGCGCGCGCTGCTTCTCATTTTCCAGGCGTGCCTGCGGCCGGCGATATAGGCAGACGAAGCGGCCGGGTGAGCAACGGCAACCAAGGGGAGCCTCACACCAGGGGCGACGTCATCCCAAGCATACACAAGTCTGTTCGGCGCCCAGTCGCCGAATTCAAACTCGCCCCCATGATGATGTCAGCATCATGACTGATTGCGGCTGCTACAACTCTTTGGCCTGTGGAAGCCTCCTCGCATCAGTACGACCCTGCCCCTCCCCGACAAATACCACCGGGCCGCACCCACCATGTCGGGCGCGGACATGCGCACGAGCCGCTGCCCCAGCAGCCGCATCATTGGGGAGTTGTAGTCGGAAGCATCTAGCAGATAGGCCAGCTGGTAGCTGAACTTGGAGGCCTCGATCGCCGCATGCAGGAACGGGTAGGCGCGCACATACAGCGCCAGGGCCGCGTCCCACGCGGCCGCCAAGGGCCCGGGCGCGGCGCCGCCGCGCACCGGGGGCAGCCGCGGCGACGCGCGGCGCAGCGCGAGGCCCAAGACGCCGGCGCGCGCCGCGTGGCGGGTGTACAGCCGCTCGGCCTTCGACTGGAGGTAAGGCAGCAGCACGCTGCACAGCAGCGCCAGGCTCGCGCCGCCCCGCCCGAGCGGCGCCCCGCCGCCGCAACCCGCCGCCGCGCCGGCCGGCTGCTGCTGCGGCGCCGCCGCGGCCGCCGCCCCTGGGCGCGGCCGCCACCGCTCGCGCTTGAGGCCGTAGAGGCTCTCCGCAAACGTGCCCTCGAGGGCGCGCAGGCTGTGGCGGTCGAGCAGCAGCACGACCAGGGCAACAACCTCATCCTCTCGCTCCAGCAGCCGCTGCACCCAGGCGCGGCGCTGGCCAAACACCTGGGCGGTGCCACGTGCGCGGCGTGGCGTTCTGGGGCGGGGGCGGGGCCTGGCGGGTGCGTCGCCGACGGGGCGGCGTCGGCAGAAAGCTGCTGGCGGCCGTACGCCAGGCGCCACGCAGCCGCGGGCATGCACAGGCGGGTGCCCACCGACAGGGAGTAGATGACGGCGGCCCTGAGGCTGGGCACGAGCTTGTCTGCGGCATACACCTCAAAGAATGTGGGCTTGCTGCCTGCATCGCCGCCGAGGCTGACAAAGCTCATCCTGCTCAGCCTCAGGCGCGAGCCAGCGCCGCTGCCGTTGTGCCAACGGAACCAGCTGCCTATCTACACGCCGTCCCCCATAGCTCCGTGACCATTAACTCAAGACTAAAATCGGATATACTGTAAGTCTGCCTCTCGACACGCTCGCTGGAAAACTGGACACAGCCTGGCACCAAAGAAAATCGCCCGTGGAAGCGATTCGCGCCCATTAATCACGCAGACGAGCTCCCATATGTAGCTACACCTCGCTGTAAGCTGGCCGGGCGCACTATGGTAGCGTGTCAGCGTCACCCGACGCGTCACTGAAGATCGCGCGCCGCCAATGCGAATGCTGAGCGCTACCGGTACCATCGGTACTGGGAACGGGCGTGTAGACATTATATTGCAATGTAACATTAATATGGTGGGGTCAACGGATGATTTGACACCCATCGTGCACTGAGTGCCGGGCAAGTAACGTTTGTATCCCTGAGCGCACCCCCCCCCCCTACGAGCCATGACCCTTTCAAGGGGCTGCTTTCCACCATCCCAATCCCCATACTGCGCTGCTGCCATGCCATGCAGCAGGCGCGTTCCCATGGGCACGCCGACTTGGAGCAGGACGTCAGCTCTGCACGACAAGTCACGTAGCATGCCTACTCAATTGGTTCCACACGCAACCCCGGGCTGGGCCCCCCGGGTCTTGTCCACCCAGCCGCCTGCCAGACTGCGCTGAGATTTGATGCAGAACTCGACAGCATAACACATGCGCCAGCGGAGGGATCCCTGGACAAATGCGCTTGGGGTCAGCGGCTCAAAAGGGGGCGGCCGAGCCGAAGCCATCCGGGGTGGTCGAGGGCGAGGGGGTGCGTCACAGGTCAGCTTGACACGTGAGTCTGGCGCGACAATGCAGAGGAGGGGGCGGAGCGCAGGCGCGCACCAAGGCCTCAACGAACGCGGGCCGGCAGCGCAGGCCCTTGATAGGGCGGCGCGGCGGCTGCACACGCCCGCCGCGCGCACCGGCTGACTAACCGAGGGGACCAAGCGCCTGCGCCCACCACACAGGGCACAAGCCGCGTAAAAAGCAACCTGACGAGCGGCGGCCGAGCGCACACCAGGCGCCGAAGGCGCCACCGCCGCCGGAGCCAACGACGACGCATACGTGCGAGGGGCCGGCGGGAAAACTTCCCGCGCACGAGCATGTTCAGAATGAAGGACAGGATCGGGGGGTGGGGTGTCAAGCGCGGCCGCACAGGCGCGCCGGCAACGCCCGCCGCCTGCGCGCAGCGAACAGCGGCGCCGCCGCGCGCCTCGGCGCGGACGCCCCGCGGGCGGCGCGGGGCGCGGCCTCACGAACGCTGGACCAGTAGCAGGACGCACACGGGACAGGGCTGCGACAAACATGGGCGAGGAGCTGCGCGCAGGCGGCTGCGGCCGGGGCAGGCCACAGTCACAAGCGGGTGGCTCGAGTCGCAACACAGAATGAAACAGCGGGGCGGGATGCGCGCGGCGGCGGCCTTGTGTGCGGCCGCGCCGCGCGTTGTGGGGGCCGCGGGCCGCCAGCGGGGCCGGCCGGGTGCGCCCGGCAAAGAAGAGGTTGCTCCAAATTCGAATGCCCAAAATTGGTTGGATGGTGCGAGGCAGCCAAAAAGAAGAGCCCGTGCTGAATGGGTCGCAGCTCTGCAGGGCTTGCTCGGAGAAAGGTTCGGTGCGGGGACGGTGACGGTGACGGAAACGCTGCTGGCGCTCTGCTCTTACTGCGCTGCTGCTGCTTAGCAAAAGTTGTGCGCGCCTGCGCTGACAGGCGCGGGGTGCGGCCGAACGAACCGGTTGGCAGCTGGCGCGAGAGGCCCCCTCGCGCCACAGCCCAGTGGGCCGACCCCGCGGTGTCCCCACCTCTCGCAAGCTCTCGCTCAGATCCCCTATGCCAGCAGCCCCGCGCCGCCGAAGCCCGCGCCCCCGAGCGCCGCGGCGGCCGCGAGCCCGTACGCCGCGGCCAGACCCAGCAGCGCGCCGCCGCCGCCGCCGCCGCCGGCCCCGCGCGCCCGCCCCGAGGCTAGCGCCTGCGGCAGCTCGCAGCTGATGCTGTAGGAAATCACCCCCTCAAGCGCCAGGATCTGCTGCAGCATCTCCGCCAGCCGCGCGTCGCGGCCCTTGAGGACAAACGTCATGACGTACTCCCCGCACGCGACGCCGTCGGCGGCGGCGGCGGGGGCGCTGCCGGGTGCGGCGGCGCCGCGGCCGGGCAGGGCGGAGACGGACTGCGAGGCGCGGGCCGCGGGGGTTGCGCGTGTATTGACACCCATAATGACGCGACGCGCCGGCGGGTCCCTTGCCTTCCCGCCTTCATTTCGTGCACAAAGCTTGCCGCAACATGCATTCCGGTCGCAGCGAGCCCTTGCCCCTGCCCACGCCCAAGCTGCAGACCCAGACCCCGCCAGCGCAGTTTGTGAAACCCACCTTGATGTTGTGGCCGCTGTCCGTGATTACGTTGCAAACCGCTGCGAGCAGGCCCATCTTGTCCGCGCACGATATAGACAGCGTCGTGACGCTCGTGCTGTCGGGGGGCGCCGCGGCGGCAGCAGCAGCGGCAGCGGCGGCTGCAGCGGCAGGCGCGGCCGCGGCCGCGGCGGGCGCGGGGCTCGCGCCTGTGTGGGGGCGGGGTGGCAGAGGCGCGGGCGGGTGCGGCATGAAGGTGAGGTGCGAGGGCCCGCTGCTCCGCTTGCTTCCGCGGCTGCTTGGCGGCCAAAAACAACGCACTCGTTCTGAATACCGCTGAACCTGATTGCAACGACCCGCCTGCCATGACGGCCGCTCTAGAGCATCTCACACAAGGGGGGGCGAGGCAGGGGTATTGGCCCCAGCCCCTTCGCTCACCCGCCACGCCGTTGCCGTTGCTGTTGGCGCCGCCACCCTCCTCCTCCGCGCCGCACGGCTCGTCCTCATCATCGCAGCCGCTGTCGCTCCCGCTCCCGCTCCCGCCGCTACCGCCCCCACCGCTGCCCGGCCCGCAGCGCCGCTGCCGGCGCGCGTGGTCTTTCAAGAACTGCTTGATCTTCAGCTTGGCGGTGCGGGTGCGCACGAACCCGACCCACTGCTCGTGGCGGCGAACCATGGAAGGCGTTACCGCGGAGGACGGCTCGCGGCGCACCTCCACGACCTCCCCGTTGGACAGGACGTAGGAGGGCGCGACGAGGCGGCCGTTAACGAGCGCGGCGCGCATCTCGTTGCCAATTTGGGTGTGGACAGAGTAGGCAAAGTCGACCACAGTAGAGCCCTGGGGGGAGGAGGGTGTGTGTGTGTGTGAGTGTGTGTGTGTGTGTGTGTGGGTGTTGGTGTGTGTGCGTGTGTGAGCGCGCTCGCGAGGATGGAAGGGCAGACAGGGCAGGGCTGGTCTAGGCACTTGCTAGGGGCTCTGCAGTCCAACGAAAGGTGCGTCGGGCCGTCTGCCCTGCTCGCGTCCGCGCGTACACAGGTGCTTGTGTCCAGCTGGCTGCAGCCGCCACCCCGGCTGAGAGCACCTCCGCAACAATCTCAATGACCACGCGGCGCGCACCTTGGGCAGCCGCCGCAGCTCCCCGGTGTGCGTGTACACAAACACGCTCTGCCCCAGGACCTCCGCGGTCACGCCGTCCACAAACTCCCGCGCCGACAGGCTGCCCACAAACTCCTCCTGCCACTTCCGCATCTGCGTCAGCCAGTTGCCGTCCGACGACGCCTCCTGCTTCCTCAGCGCCGACGGAAGGAAGCTGCTCGACGCCTTCGCGGCCGCCGCCGCGGCGCGCCGCGCCGCCGCGCCGCCCTGGCCGTCTGGCCCGCTGCCTCCGCCGCTCGCGGCGCGCACGACCGCGCTGGGTCCTGCGCCCGCGCCCGCACGGGGCGGGCCCGGCGGCGCCGGCGCGCCGTTGCCGTTGCTGCTGCTGCTGCTTGCCGCGGGGCTCCAGCGGCCGCCGCCGCCGCCGCCGCGGGCGTCCTCGTGGTCCTCGTCCCGGCTGCTGAACGGGCTGCCCCCAAAGTGAGGCCCCCGCACGCCCGTGATCGCCGCCAGGCTGCTGCCGCCCGCGACCACTGTCTCCAGCATGTAAGTCGCCAGGTTCATCCAGAACGCCCGCGCGCCGCCGCCGCCGCCGCTGCTGCTGCTGCCGTCCACTGCTGCGCCGGGCGGCGCCGCGCCCAGCCGCTGCTGCTCCTGCCCCGCTACGCCCGGCCCTGGCGGCTCCCGCCGCTCCGCCGCGCTGCCCGCGGGCTCCTGCTGCATGACGTCCGCGACCGCCGCCGCCATGCCACCGAGCCCCGCCCAGCCCGCCAGCCGCCCCGGCGGCCGCTTGACGCCCCAGTTGCGCGCTGCCACCCCCAGGTCCGCGAGGCGGTCCATGTCAGCAGTCCGGATCTGGACCTCCATCGGCAGCAGCGGGCAGTTTTTCGAAAGGATGGACAGCGGCACGACGCGCGTGTGGAGGCTCTGGTAGCCGTTGGTCTTGGGGGACCCGATGAAGTCCTCCAGGCCGCCGGGGATCGGCGACCAGATCGAGTGCACGAGGCCCAGCACGTAGTAGCACAGCTGGTGGCTCTCCATCTGGAAGGACAACGGCCGCGGCCGCGCCACGCCGCGCCGAGGCCCCGCTGCCGCGCCGTTGCCGCTGCCGTTCGCGCTCGCGCCGTTGCCCCCGGCGTCGTCGCCGCCGCCGCCGCGCTCGTTGATGGCAACCTGTAGGTATACGCCCTGATCCGGCAGGTCCTTCAGGTGCGTCAGCAGCCCCACCTCCGGCTTCGGCACAACCCGCGCAGACCGCGGCAGCCGCGGCCCGCGCGCCCCCGCCGCCGCGCCGCCGCGCGCC